TGTGATATCAGTTCCATTTGAGTAGACCTGTCAAGATATTTACTGGGCTTGACAGTACTTCTGTCTTTAATTAAATTTTTTCCCAGATACTTTAATGTAATTTAAATAGATTATTAGTTGTCAGGATCTAATAAAAATTTTGTTTACAATTTAGTTACTTTAAGTACTCCAAGTGAAGAAATTAATTTAACCCCATGTCGACTGAGGTGTTTTCAGCATCAAGATGAGACCACTAAAAGGCTCCCACTATCCTTGTACTGTCCCAACAATCTTACATTATTATGACTTAATTGCAAATATCAAGGCACTAAAAATTGAACCCCTCCCCCACTTTTTTTAAGCAAACTAGGTTGGGGAGGGTCATAAGGAAAACTAATTTACACTTGTTCAAATACAGGTTCTTTCTTTTAAAAGCAGCTCATTCTCCCAGTAGCTGGCTAGGTAGGCATGTTTTTCTCAATTTAAATCCTATAACACAACTACCAAACACACCTGTTGTGCACAAGGCAGGATATATATTAAAAACTGGTATCAGAGGATTTCAAAAAGGAAAACAAGCCTTGCAGAGATATCCACAGCTAAACTGGTCAATAGATTTCATGACCGGGTAAAATAGTACCAGGAAAAGGATACATCCAGCTTCTGGCACAACCTCCGGGTGAGAGGGAGCCGACTTCTAAACAAGGCCTGAAAAATGTCTCAGTACAAACTGACTTAATTAATAAAAATAATTCATTAAACAAACAAAGAGCAAACACTGTCTAATTCTTTCCCAACTGCCATGCAATTTACCTCACTATACCTCCTCTTTCCAGAATAGCAGCTTTGTAGCCCTAATTGCAAGAACATTATCTATGGGATGCAAAAACCAAAACACTTCTTAAAATCAAACACTCCTCACAACATTTATTTTTAGATTGGTGACACAAGCCAAATCTGCTTAATTTCCATTAACCACGTCATCACATGCACATTGAAATAAACTATGTAGAGCCTAGGGGAAAAGAAAGAAAAATAACTGTCATGCATAAGGTACCCATATTAGGCCAGGTTCTTCTGTTTCAGGGATTGGTCTCATCTCATGACCTGCTGATGTTCCAGCTTTTGGCACCTCTAGCCTTAATTCATCCAAGTACCATGGAAGAGAAATATTTTTTAAAAATCAGTTTAAGATGGCTCCTTGGATCACACATGTACACCGCAGACCAGAGTAACAAGTCACCAGAAAGATCATTTAGAAAATACACGTGCCTAATTGCAGACTTCCTCGGCTTGCTGGCTTGACTCACAAACTCTGTGTTTGATCACCTGGTAGGATTACTACCATCAACTAAACAAAAAAATTCCCTGCAAATAGTAAGAGAGTATGTTGGCTCATGCAGAAAGTTCACCTGTCTATTCAGCAGATGCCTCTCTTAAAGTTATTTCTTTAGAAAACAAACCCCTACTTGCCTTAGACCTTTGTTAACTCAAGATTCAAAAAACATACTTTAAAAAAAAAGACAATACTGCTGGCTTACCTAAAATGGCATTTACTATGACTAAATTCAATAAAAAGAGTGTGACACCTAACAGGATAAAAAATGGAAAAGAAAAAGCCCTAAGCAAAAAAAAAAATTCTTTTTTAAATCACAAATACCACCTGTGCAAATCCAGCTATGCTCTGGAAATCCTTTCTCAGCCATAGAAAAACAGCTCATGCTCAATGCCTTGAAGTTGCAATCAAGTTGTAGTAATTTAAGATTACTCCGGGAGCAAAGGGCAGTGGGAGCTCTTTGGAGGGCTCCCCTCCCTACTTAATGCTCTTCAGTCAGGGGTTAAATGAGTTTCTTTAATGTAAGTACCTTAAAGTAACTGAATCATAAACAAAATTTATACTATTTTCTGACAGCCTGCAATCTATTTAAATTTTATTAATGTGTGCCTAAAATTATTTTTTCAAAGACAGAATTCTTGCAAAGCCCTGTAAATATTCCTGGCATACCTAATGAACTGTAATTGGTGCTATAACTCCTAACATTGTCTGAATACACATACTTTTTTGGTGATGCCGAATCTTACAAGGTAACATTTCGAAACAGTTTGAGTCTTAAGTAAAACATGAAAACTAAATACACAGCACATTTAGATTGGGTTCAAAAGAAGTTGTCACATCTGCTCTGTTCTCCTTCCTCTTTCTTAATGTTGGCATTGGATTAGCTGTGGTATAAATATATTTGTTTAGGAAATATCACAATTCTTCTGTTAATATAAACAACTGCTGAAAACAGACATATCCTTCAATAGAGCCTGAGAATGTAAATACACAAGGTCAGGGATAGAGTCTCAAGAGAAGCAAGGAAAAAGTTAGTAACAGAAAACTATCCCTAGGCTCAATATTAATCCAGTTAGGTTTTGTTATTGTTGGTACAAATGATTTAACTAGAAAATATTTACAGCTTTTAAAAAACATTACATGTTACAGAAAACTGCCTAATAGCATCCATGTGTATATTTAACTCTCATTGTTTAATTACACAATAAAAGGTATACCCAATAAAAGCTATAAACTTTGAAACATGTTGGGCAGTATGGTTGTGAAACTCTGACTTATAAAAAGCAAAGTACTTACTATGTAATCAATATTTGTTAATTAAAAAGGCAATCCTTAAATGACAATTATTTTTATTCTTCTGTATGTGTTTACTTGTCCTATTTTCTACTTTGTTCTATTTAATTAAAACTGACATTTAATTTGGGGAGAGTTTATAGCAAAAAAAAAGTGTTACATTTATACTCCAGAATTTAAATATACACAAAATCTTACAGACATCTTCAGCTATATAACCCTCTTAATTTCAGAGTTAATTTGAATACTTGATGTTTCTTTCATTATACTTTGATAAACCTGTGAAAACAAAATGCTAAAATAATTACTATTACTACTCCCTTTAAACATGTAAGCACTTACATTTTCCTAGAAAACAAGCAAGGACAAGATAGAGAACTTCAATAAAAGTAGCAACCTGGTCATGTTGAATGTCATTCTAAAAAAAGAGGTTATTTCTAATCTGCAGAATGCTCCCTCTTGCCTGTTTAAATTCCAAGAGTGGGCTGACACAAAACTTCATCACCGGTTTTGGGGTTGTTTTTTTTTGAGCTGCACATCATATTTAAACCCTCATATTCAAAACCCTGGCTTCCCTGACAAGACATCTTCTAAACTTGATGTGAGAAAATGTTATCTAACTCTAGTGTAGGAGTCTAGTGTTAGTAAAAAGAATTCCACTGCACAGTTTTGGGTAGCAAGACAGCCTTCGAAAGACTTAATATTCTTTTAATACAGTTTGAGTGCATTCTCTTCATAAACAAGAACGCATTAAAAAATAGTAACTTGTTTAGCAACTCAGCATCCATAAGGGACTCAAATGCTACCTAGAGAGAGGCTAAGTATTTCCTTCCAAGTGAGGCTTCACTTGCACCACAAAGATCAGCATTTGCAGTGGTCTATTTCTGCATTAGTGAGTATATAGCTTTGCTGCTTGATCCAATAGTCCAGGGTTCTTGACGCAGAGCTCCTGACAACAACCCAGCAGCAGTTCCGTTTGATCTCTCCTGCTTCCTTAATTTGGGTTGTCAAGGTTCAGCAGTTGGAGGCTGTTTACTTTTCCAAAAAAATTTATTTTTTTCCTCTCTCATACTAACCCAATGTCTAATAGAGGTGGGTAGGGAATGCAGCCAGTGACAAGATGTTTCAAAACTTTTTCCCCCCTTTGTGCTGTGAGATTTTAGCTGATACTTTCTGAATGATAACTCATTGAGTTCCTTTTTATATTTTCAGTATTCTTTAATTATTAGATATTTCAAATAGAAAAATCACAGAGGAAAAACCCCATTCCAATTCTCTGAAACTGTGAGCCCAATTTTCTACTCCTAGATTCAAAGAGATGGCTATTCTACTTTGAAAATCAAAACTCCAGTGTAATTCTGAAAAAGATTTGATACATTTTTCCCTGGAACTGAAAATAACAGCAGCTCTTCTGTCTCAATTATGCAGGTTAACCCTCGGTAGAAAAACACCTGAAATCTGACCATTTCTCCTCAAATTCTAGTCAGCACATCTTCACCCCCTCCCTAAACCGATTCTCACTGTGAAAACACTGGGGTAGGAGGGTGGAAGGTAAAAATTTTGCAGAGATTCTTCAATATATTTGCAGCACTTAAAAATTCCTTTAAATATCCTTCAGGTTTTCTCAACTCAGCTATTATGCAAACCCTAAATTCTGAACCTATGGACAACCAAAGGCAAAGTGCAAACGGTTTCAATGTACCTATAGACTCCTTTCAAAGAATACGGAATGCCCCTCCAGCATTCCTGTTTAAAGAGCAGTAACCAAACAAAAAGGACGTCGAACTTAGAAAATACCTGTGACCGGACATGAAAGCAATACCAGCCTCTCATAAGTGAGCTGGAGAAAATCAAGGGCGACCAAATTAAATGTTTACATTAATTTCATTACTCAGCCAAAGCCCCAGAGATGAGGGCTGGGGGAGGGGGTTATTGAGAACAGGAAAAATTGTTTCGTTTTGGTTTTCTGGTCGAGCAAAAGGAACATGAATTAAAAGAAACGCGTAGGATGAGCCCAGCCTAAATCAATACACTTTGTAATCAGCCCGGCAAGGGTATTTGGGCACAATGACTTGGAAATAATTAATAGTTATAAGGGGGGAGTAGGGAGAGAAGGGGGCGAGGAATGTCACCATATTTTATCGGAACACTTTACACTTTACGCTAAACTTTGATCTCCAGATTTTCGGATTTAGGAAAGGGGGGCGAAAAAAAGGAAGTCCAGTATTTGAAGATGGGCACATTCCTGGCTGCGGCGCCTATCGCTACACTCGCGCCCCCCATGCTGGCGCTTTGGGAACAGAGAGCCCCAGGTTCAGCCCGGAGCTCTGGGGTGGCCCTTGCCCCTCCGCCTTCGTCTGTATCTTTCGTGGCCGCCGCCGCCTCGACTTACCCGCCGAGTCCAGGGAGGGAGTGGGAGCTCCGCCTTCACGCCCGCGGAGGTGGCGCGGGCAGTACCATGGTCCCCGGCGCCGCTCCTCAGTTCCTGGCCCGCTTGCTCGCAGCGCGCTCTCTTCCTCTGGCAAACTTTCGGGTTCTGCCGTCGACAAGAAATCGGGGCGACCTTCAGCAAGTCTTCCCAGTGCAGGTTGGGGAAAACTGAAGGGGTTGAGATGAATGAATAGCTGAGGGTGTCAAGACAGAGGGTGACGGGCTAGGAGGACCCGCGAGCGCGCGTGGAGGGAAGAGAGAAAGTGGCTCAGGGAATCCGGCAAGAATCCCGAGACCGGGAAATCGGCCCAAGCAAAGTCTGAGCACCTTCCCCGATATCTCGCAAAGTTGCAACAACAACAAAAAAGAGAGTAGAGAAAGGGGGGTAGGGGGTGGGATAGGGATGCGGACGCAAGGTTTGGAGTTACAACTGTTTATTTAGTCCTTATTCTCATGGGGGGCGGGAACTGCTCTGGAATTGGGGGGCGGGGGTGGCTGCTGCAGGTAGCAATTTCGAAGCAAACACTTGAGACCCGAGCATGCGACTTAGTTTCTGGTCGCGGAACTCCCCAGTGCCCGCGTATCACCTCCACTCTCCCGGGACTGAGGCGGAGCTCACAACAGGTGGGGAGGGAGACTAGATGAAGGCCAAAAGCAGAAGGAATCAAAGTTTCCGATCTCGGCTGTATCTGGGGAGGAGCGGGGCAGGGGGCGGGGGTGAGGAGAGGCGGAGGCAGCGAATGACCGCGACCCCGAGGCAACTAGCAAACTCTCAGGCTCCGGGCACCGCAGTCTCCACCCGAAGTGCACTCCGTCCCAGCACTCCGGCTCAGCTGAGTCCTCGAAGCCGAATAGGAACAGAGCTCTGGAGGAAGGCGGCGAGGGACTGAGAGCCACCGGGACAGGGCCGGGGAACGCAACGATTTACATGCGTCTCAGACAGAACGGGGCTTGGGAATCGCCCCCCAAACACACATACACACGTTCCCCAAACTTAAGAGGAGTAAAACCAGCAAAGTGTGTGTGAAGAGGGAAATCTGGGCGCGGACACTCCCCGTAGTGCGTCTAGCTCCTACTCCTGCCCGCCGTGCTGGTCCCGTCGCGGGGAGGCTGGGTTCAGTGGGCCGAGCGCGCATGGGTTACATGTCTTGCTAGGTGTGTGCAGATGTGTCTGAGTTTTCTGGGGAGGCGGGGGGGGGGGGGGTGAGCGACGAAGGAATACCCCCGCCTCCGGATTCGGGGCAAGGCATGCGTGGCACCGGGGAGATACCCCCGGCGTGGGGCCCAGGACGCGGGTGTCTCCAATCTTTACAACGCCGCCCAGGGAGCAGCCCACGGGCACCGAGGAGGCATTCACTTGGGGAGTTAGAAGGGAAAACTTTGTTCCAAGTGCAAACTTTGGGCTCCAGAGACTCCCCGCGAGCGCCTACTCCCGCCGCGGACCCGACCCAGAGACTCTCGCGCACCCCACTCCTCCGCAGGCACCCCAACGCAAGACATCGAAAGTTGCCCCTGGCGGCCTGGGCTTATTGATTTCTCTCTCGCGGCGACTGTGGAGAGCGCAGATCCAGGCTTGAAGGGGCCGAGGGGGACGCGATCTCGCCTACCCACCCACCCCCATTTGACTTATGCAAATGAACCCTTGTGCAGCGTCTCTGGAGCCCCCTCCACCCCCGCGCTGGTCTGCTGCCCCCACCCTGATCCGGTAGCCTGGGCCCCAACCCGCGGCAGAAAGCCTGAGAGCGGAGGACTAGGGAAGATGCACGTGGAGCCTGGAGGTGGAAAGTAGTTTTTTTTTTTCTTTTTTTCTTTCCTTTTTTTTCTTTTTCTTTCTTTTCTTTTCTTTCTTTCTTTCTTTTTTTTTTTTGTGCTGATTGTTGTTGTTTAAAGTGGCGGAACCAGGCAGTAGGCGGCTTGGGAAAAAGTGGAGCAGAAATGGAAAAATACAAACTCACCCGCTGCAAATGGTCTCTCGGTGCAAACTAAGGTGTTTTCGGGCTTTTCCCCGCGCGTGCCCACTCCCGCCCGCGCGCGCACCCCCGCGCACACACTCACTCGCGCACACTCGCGCGCACACACGCACACACGCACTCGCGGGCTAGGGACCGGCCGCTGCGAGTACAGCGTGCGACCGCCACACAATAAATAACAATAGATTCCTCCGCTCGGGACTAGCTTCCCGTACCCCAGCTAGCGCCGGTGGCAGCGGCGGCGCGGGTGGCGCCCGGCCGGGGGCGCTCCCTAGCTAGTCGTCAGGCCTCTTGCCAGGGCTGCTTCTCTGCCTCGGGGACCCCCAAGGCCCCGGTGCCTCCAAAGCGCGAGCCGCCACCGTCCCCTCAGCCCACTCGAGCCCCGGCCCACTCCCCTCCCCCCACACCCCTCTTCCTCCCTCCCCCTGGCCTCCCGGAACAAATAAATAAATAAGCGCAAGAGAGCCCAGCTCGTCGCGGAGGAAGATGTTGTTATTTTTTGCTGTTGTGCGTCCCTGACGTCACATCCACCTGCTGGGTAAACAACAAGGCTCGCAGCAAAAAGAAAAAAAAAAGAAAGAAGAAAATCACCGCTGCTAGAGCCTGGGGCGGGGTGGGCTGGGGAGAGGGGTCCCGGGAAGCGGGCTTGCGGAGCGTCTGGGCTGAATGGCAGAGGAGAGGGCGGCAGAGCCCGGCAGATCAGGGAGGGAGGAGACGCTGAGCGGCTGCAGAGGGACCTGGCTGGAAAGACCTGGAAAATAGGGGGCCTGGGGAGGAGAGTCTCCTCAGATGATGAGGGGACCCCTCAGACTCCTGGAAAGCGCGCGGCAGAGCGTTAACGAGGGACGAAAATGGGAATGGGATAGCCATTTGCTTGGTTTCTGAGCTAAAAATACAGAAGGAAGGGGAGAGATGGGCAAAGCTGTGAGTCTGCTCTAGTTAAAAGTGAAAGTGTTTCGCCGGCAGTGACAGTCGAAGGAGGGGCGAGCGGTGAGATGGTGTTCTCCACCACTCCCTTCCCTCCCCCGTCCTCCCTCGGTCTCTCCTCTTTCTTTCTGCACTTTGTCCAATGAACGAAAGCGAGTTCGGAGGTGAAAGTTCAACAGAAGGACAAACCCGGGTTTGCAAAGAAGCAGAAACCCGCCAGCGAAGGGTTTTCCCCCAGTATTTAGAGTAAGGAGAGTATAGTTTGGGACTCGCTTTTCGTACTTCTTCGTGTCAGATTCCCCACAGAAAAGTGTGGTTAGGTGTCCTTTGAAGGCAAGCGGCCGCCTGAGGAGCTGGATTGTAGCCGCGGCTGCTTTAGGAAACCGCTCAGGGGCTAGCATGTCAGCAATTTAACACAGGTTACCTGCTCTCCAAGAGATCATTCACTTGGGAAAGCTTTGTCCAATTCTTTGAAAAGGTGAGATTTCTTTTTGTGTGCTGTTTTGAAGTTTGGTGGAATTTAGAAATCTGAAGGAGTAAATGAGGAGCCTGAACGAAATCTTTTGAAATATACATATAAATGTATAAAACAAAGGACACTAGTATTTATTTTGCTTTATCAACACAAGTATAGAAAGAAGACTTTTGATTTCCAAAATGTGACTTAGATATACAGCTCTATGGCTTGTTGTTAGCAGGAATAATTTCCTTTACCCCAGGTGCTGCCAAATTCCCAAGCCAGTATTCCCAGCGGCTGGCTAGCTGGCTGGCTGGCTGGTGTAGTAGGCCAGGTCTGTAGGAGAGTGTACTGAAGCCACCCTATGAATCCTTACAAAGTACTCTCCCACTGGTGTTACGGCCAGCACAGTTGTAGATAATATATATCCTGGGAAGGATATTGTAAATTCTTTTAGATAATTTTTTACAAATATTGTTAAACATTCATTTACTGGAGAATTCTAAATTTCAATTTCAATAATAGCATAAGATTACTACTTTAAAATTGTATCTTTTTTGCATGTAAAAAAATAACAAAGCCACTAATTGGTGCTACAGAATAAAACCAAAGAAAGGGAGAGTGTGCTAAGAAAATTCCAGCATAGTAGTATTCATATTGAAGGCATTCTTCACAAAATTCTATGTTATTCAGACAAGACCAAATCTTTTAAACTAGAATCTAAATAAAGAAAATGCATTTTGGTTTGAGTAGAACCTCCTAGTTTCTTAGAGGCTAGAGTTCATGTTGTCTTTGAGTCAAGACATTAATTAAGACTTGAATGACACACCTACTACATTCTGGACCATATAGTAGGCACTGAGGGATGCAGAAAGTAAATAAAATCCCTGCCCTTGAGCTCACAGTCTATAGCTGTCAGTAATAACATTTGATATTTACTGAATGCTTACTATGACTTAAGCACTAATGTAAAAGCTTAATGTCCAACTCAGTTAATGCTCTCAACAACACTTTAACATCACTGGAAATTCCATATGCTGAATTCACATGGAATTAAATGGAAATCTACAAAGTAGCCTGTCTATGGGGGGAAGGGGTTGTTTTTCATTTCCAAAATGTTTATGCCACATATAACATTTTATGGTATATGTCAAGTTGCTGAGTTTTAACTCAGGGGAATAGCAGTTTATTTAAATGTGACAAATTTATTCTTGGTCTGTAAAGAAGAGTTCATGCTCTGATCTTGTTTTCCAGATTGAACAGTGACTTTTAAAAAAATTATTAGTATTGCCACACTAAATGGTCTTTAGATTGCCACTGATCTTATTCTGCATTTGAACTGCCTTAAAATCTACATTCACTTGAAAGTGGAGGCCAAAATCAGATTGGCAACAAGTTTTGCAGACAAAAGGAAATCCCGTTTGTAAATCCAACAAAATGTGGTAATCAACTTTGTATATAATACTGTCTGATGTGCCACCTTATTAAAGAACTCCATGTTCATTTTGCTTTCACCAGAGGGGAAACTTAACTGCAGCTTAACATATTGTTCATTTTCAACACCACGCTACATTCATAGGGAGCACATTTTAATTTCTTTATTAGTAACCAACTGGAAGTTTCTTTTTAAGTTAAAGCAAGAAGGGTTTTTAAATATAGGGCATGGGGATAGGACGCCACCTTTTGGTCGTAAGACAAATAGAAATCCCCTTTTAAACCTGTTCCTGACATCATTTCATTTTTTTAAGTATATTTTATTGACTGTGCTATTACAGTTTTCCCAATTTTTCTCCCTTTATCCCTCCCTCTGTCCTGCAACCCCAGCCCTCCAACATTCCCTCCTCTTAGTTCATGTCCATGGGTTGTACATATAAGTTCTTTGACTTCTCTGCTTCCTATACCATTCTCAACCTCTCTCCATCTATTTTATGCATACCAGTTATACTTCTTATTCCCTGTACCTCCCCCACCACATTCCTCATCTTCCCCTCCCCACTGAAAACCCTCCATGTGATGTCCATTTCTCTGATTCTTTTCTAGGTGTTTGCTTAGTTTTTGTTTTTTGGGTTTTTTTTTAGGTTCAGTTGTTGATAGTTGTGAGTTTGTTGTCATTTTACTGTTTACAGTTTTTATCTTCTTCTATTTCTTAGAGAAATCCTTTTAACATTTCATATTATAAGGGCTTGGCGATGATGAACTCCTTTAACTTGACCTCACCTGAGAAGCACTTTATCTGCCCTCCATTCTAAATGATAGCTTTGCTGGATAGCATTTCACTTTTAATTACACCAAGGAAAAGGTCCTTGTCCCCATTTTGTTATATTTGAAGTACTAGGAGAAACAGAATAAATGGAAAATTAGCAAACTGTTGTTAACTGTTGCCAAAATTTCCCCAAAAGTATCAGAACTCATGCCATGCCATGTACCATTAACTATATATCAAACACCAACTTTGTTGTGCAAATACTGTGTCAATTAATATATGCACATTTGGGAAACAGAAACTGGAGTGGATATTTGCCACTTAATGAAATATCTGAATGCTCTTATAAGTTTAGACTAAATAGAAACTTGAAAATCACCTAATTCAGTGTTTTTTAAACCATAATTACTATATTCCTAATTTTCACCATATCTACATAACTTAATAGTTCCTGAATAATTAATATGCTGTACTCATTGAAGTACAGTTATGGTAATTGTACTGAATGTTTCCCTTTAAATCAAACTATATGTTATTTATACTTTTATTACTATTTAAATGGAAAATCTGTATCACCTTCCATACATTAAAACAATCACGGTGCAGACAGAGTCATTGATTTCTCTTTGTTAGGGAGACTGGTAAAAAATATAAAAATTAAAAATAATTTTTTAAAAAAGAATGGCAAGTGCTGAGAAGCATTAATGACAAATGTCAATGGAGAATTTTGTTTTCTCTTTGTTTTTCTGAACAACCAGAATGATTGAAAGTGACTGGAGAGGGAGAGTCCTCCTCAGTGCGCAACTCAGTGTTATCTAATGCCGTCCAGGTGGGCAGACTCCTACACTGTGAGAAACAAGCATCACCAACTATGTTAAATTACAGAGTACAAAGCTGAGGCCCAAGGAGGTTAAATCTCCCCCCGAGGCCTAATAATTGGTTAGTGGCTGGACAAGGATTAGAACTCAGGCGCCCTGACTCAGTGTCTGTGTATTTCCATCTCACACTTTCCACTTCACAAAAGCAATGTGCCACCACCCTCACACATTATGGGGCCTGCCTGGCTTCTCAGAAACAGCCACTATACATATCACTTTATACACAGAGAAGAAACGATACCACAGAGTCCACATCAAATGCAACCCTCTATTTCCCCTCTTCTCTCCCTCAGGTCTCAGGGGTAAACACAGAAAAAAAGAGGGGAAGATGGGGAGTAGAGAGAAGGGACAGGTTAGTAAAAGTGGTCGCTCTCTTCTTTAAATGAAAGCTTACATTCCTGTTCCTTCCTAGGTTGAAAAATGGTTAATGAAAATCATGTGTGTCACAGGAGGTGTGCCATCTGCATTTTGCTATAGCTAGATGTCCACACCACAAATCAACACAAGTTCTCTTGTTTCAAAGTATACAGTATAATCAGGCACTCTGAGACAAACTACGTTTAATAATTGAGTGGCTTGAAAAGCTAGTCATGGAATGGTGAAAGTCCCCAATTTTAAAAGGGATTTCCCCAACAACAAAACTCATCCAGAGGCTCAACATTAAAACTAGAGACAATAGTGCATTTTGTGAGCTATTAATTACAGTTATAGAGATTGCATGTCCTGCTCTTCTCCTTTCAAAGGCACAGTTCTATAAACAAATAAACATGGTCTACAAATAGTATTATGTGTTTTTAATTGGTCCTAGAGAAAAGAGGTTGCTGATAACTGTACTCTATAGCTCTTTGCCCTGTGGGTCCCAATGCATTGATTGTAAACTCTATAAACTACAAAAAATTATCTGGCCAAATACCTCTACTCCAAAAAGCTATTCTAGTCTCCTAACCTTTGAACATTCACAGTGCTACATGTTGTTAATTTGGAGATACATAAATTTGGAGAGTGTGAGAAGTTCAAGCCTACCTTCCAGAAGTACTAGAGCAATCCAGACAGACCCTTGCTATACAGAATGAGGAGTGCTGGCCTGCAGCGTCAGCACCACCTGTGCACCTCAGAAATGCAGCATCTCAGCCCAGTCCCTAGACCTACTGAATTGAAATCGGCATTTTAACAAAACTGCCCAGGAGAACCTCACAGACACAAGTTTGAGAAACACAGATCTGCAATGAACATAGCCTCACACAAAAAGATGCTCTTTACAGAGAGCATCTTTACAGTATTAAAACTGTGAAGTTTAAATAGCTTGTCAAGTAGTCCTATAAGCTGTCTGCCATACCTGGTTCTCCAAACTTTTGTAAAATTTGTTGGTTCATTGTTTTCAAGCACTTGCAAAGTTAAGCTGCTAAGTCACCTATGTAAACCATGATTAATTCCTTTGATATTAATGGCAGGCTACTTTTCTCTCTTGCTACCCCAAAGACACTGCTGATTAGCCTCCAATTGTTTATCTTTGTATCATTTCACAAGTGCTCAGAGAAAGATGGAAGATACTCCCAGCAGTCCAGAAACAAATGCCAGACAGGTTTTGGGAAGGCTGAACACATGCTATCACTATACCTTGTTAGTAAAAGGGCTTTGCTTTCATTGTCTTGTTTTCTTTCTTATGAAAGGGATGATGCCTTCATAATTACCAGTATTGCTGTTTAAGATCCAGAATGTTTTCCAAACTACTGAGGGGCTATACCTCCAGCAACCTGGGAGCTGTCGCCTTGCTCTAAGTATTGTTCAACTCCTTAGATGTGGCTCTAAGACACATCTAATCACCACTAGATTTATGTGAAGTATAAGGAAAAGAAGGAGGAGCCTATCCAAGTAAGGCTGCTTCCTGAATAAACATGAAAGTATTACAGGAAAACCTCACAGCTGATGATCAGTTTGTT